ATGCAAGTTAACTGGACAACTTTATAAAGAATACCCCATATGTTTACATAAAAAGAATTAATTGAAGCTGAGGAATGGGGAGAATTTTGAACATTCTTCAATTGGTTTTTCTATTGGTAGTTCTTACTTGTTTTATTTATTGGTTACTTTGACTAATTAGAAAAAAAATAAGTGATTCTTTTTTAAATTTCTCTCCCCAAATTCATTAATCAAATTTTGAGTTGTAAAAACAGCATTTCACAAAGAGAATTTTAAATTTCAGGCTACAACATAGTTTAAAAGTAACATGCAGCCTTTGTGTACTTAAAACAAAAATCTTTAACTGGAGTAATGAATTTCTTATGTGAGTATAATCCGAAATGCAGACCACAGGTATAAAAACATACCCATTTCAGAGTCCTGGGGTGGTGATGTGGGTTAATGGGCTGAACTGCAAGGTCTGTTTAAACAGCAAAGTCAGTGGTTCAAGCTCACCAACCATCCTTTGGAAGTCCTATTTGGGGTCGCTATGAGTCAGAACCAACTCGGTGGCACTTAACAACAACAACAACATATTCTGTTGAATGCACATTTAGGGGAAGGACAAATATTCTTCATAATATTTCAAATTAAATTTGTGTTTTCACATAATCATCTAATCACTTGGAACCATTGTTAAATGACACCATATGAAAATTAACCCAACATTTACTTGCTACATTTTTTGTTAAATCTAACACTTCGCTATAATCTACCCATTATTTATTTGGCTAATTTTAATTTTGGAAACACTTGTTCAGACTATATTTTATTTAACAGTAATGACTCATGTTACCATTTCAATATTTTCTACTCAGTGGTGGTGATAGGAAATTCATATAACTTTGTGGTTCTATTCTGCATAGCAGCTATTTAATATACCTGAAAATTTTCAAATTGAAAAAAATATAAACCAAAACTGCCTAAAATGATACTAGAATTGATCTCAGAATTATCTTCTTAACATTGGTGGGATAGATAGCCTTAATATAATCATCAATAATAATATTCCAATTTTCTCTGAGTACACACCTAGTTTGGCATACTGAGGCTGTACATTATGTACTTGAATTTGTCTCCAATAAATGTGATTTCTGATGTAGAGAACTATTAATGCTTCAGATTGTTGCCAAACATAATATGAAGAACCACTTACTCAGACACCTGATCTTTAGAATGCAGCATCGTTTGTAACAATTTTAACGCTAACTAAGTACACTTTGATGAGACAGCATTTAATAAAATGCTCATTAATTTCATCATTAGCAAGGGTATGCTAAGAAGTAAGCCAGTTTCTTATGTCACGCCCAATTAGCATCCCATGCTAGTAATCCCATTAGTATTGTTGAATTCACTAATGGAAAAACTAATGGGCATGCTACCAGGGCACATTAATTGGGCACGACACCAGTTCTGGTTTTAATTATTAAACTACGATAATGAAATGTGTGTTTGTAAAATATTAAAATGTTTGAAGAAAATAAAAGAGAATACACAAAAGAAAGACATATAATAAGGAAAGTCAACCCACAAAAATTCAAGGACTAGAAAATAGTCTTACTAAATGGTCATCTTTGTAGCTAAATGAGTTCTGTGAAAGTTGGGATATTGTCCATGTCAGAAGCAGTCTACTCATACTCATGGGAAATTAAAACTGTTTTTTGGTTACATGAAATTCTGTATGTCACATGTGTTGTCATGCTTTGTATGAGGCCTGACAGAAGCCAATTATGTGCATAGAATGGACATGTTATATCCCTGAAAACTCTTTTAAGGAAATAAAAGCAGAAATATTTTACTTTAACTTAGAATAGTATGGTTTACACTGCATTTTTTTTAATTAAATAAAGCTTTAGTTACCAAATATCAGGTAATTTTGCATTTTCTCTTTTTAAAAAGCCATATCACAAGAATGGTAAGACAACATGAGGGATGTAGCCAGTGTCATTGTACAGCACATGTTGAAATTGTGGAATGGGTGTATGATCTGTTATGTAGAGTTTTACCAAAATAAAATTAATTTTAAAAAAATAACAGTAATAAACCTTTTGTATTTTAACATAATACTTTATGAAAAAAATAACAGTATTGTTCCAAGAATGAGAAGCGTGGCATTGTGTCACATTTTTCCAGCTCTCTTTATGCCTGTCTGCATTGACACTGGATTAGAAACAAAAACAAAAAATCCATGAAGCAATTTTTTTAAAGAATTTAATGTAAGTTTCCAAGAATTTTTTTTAATTGTAAAAATTAACTCAATGTTTTTTCTAGTTTTAAAAAAATTGCAATGAGCTTTATTATTGCTCTGGAAATCAACTTTATTAATAAACAAATAAACTTATTTTTTAAAAGTATAGATTTTCATTTGGAAGGTGCAGAGTTATTTTCGAGTTGTCATTTACTACTAGAAGTATTAAATGATGATGTGGCAGAGTTGAACTACATTTGGCTTATTCTTACTTGTTTAGTAACATTGCAATGGTTACCACTGTGCTAACCATATTATACCAAAAAATGGCCACTTGGTTATAAATGTTAAGATACAAGATTCTCTTTTATGTCTTTGTTTGTCAACTTTACTTCCTTTTTGCTAATCTCTATCCTGGTGTGGTGCTCTAGGATAAACATTGGATTGCTAACCACAAGGTTGGTGGTTCAAACCCACTAGCCACTCCTCGAAATTCTATACAGAGTTGCTAGGAATTAGAACCAACTCAACAGCATTTAACAACAACAACAAATGACAGTTCTAGGTATTTACTGTTTCCGAGGTCTTATCTAAGGAGCTCTGGTAGTGTAGTGGTTACGAATTGGGCACAACAAGGTCTTATCTACTGGTGGTTGGTGATTATGTGCTGTGGAGTTGGTTCTGACTCATAGCAACACTGTACAGGGTTTCTGAGGCTGTAAATCTGTAAATCTTTATGGGAACAGAAAGCCTCATCTTTCTCCCGTGGATCAGCTGGTAGTTTCAAACGGCTGAACGTGAGGTTTGCAGCCCAATTTGCAACCACATCACTGCACCACTACACCACTACACCACTCTCTTATCAAAGGAGAAAAGATTGAAGTTGTCAAGGACTTCATTTTTCTTGGATCAACTATCAACACTCATGGAAGTAGCAGTTAAGAAATCAAACGACATATTGCGTTAGGCAAATCTTTTGCACAGGACCTTTTTAAAATGTTGAAGAGCAAAGATGTCAACTTGAAGACTAAGGTACGCCTGACCCAAGCCATGGTCTTTTCAGTAACCTCATATGCATGTGAAAGCTGGACAGTAAATAAGGAAGACTGTAGAAGAATTGATGCTTTTGAGTTATGGTGTTGGAGGAGAATACTCAAAGTGCCATGGGCTGCCGTAAGAACCAATAGATTCATTTTGGAAGAAGTGCAGCCAGAGTGCTCCTTGGAGACCAACATGGCCAAACATCGTCTCTCAGACTTTGGACTTATTGTCAGAAGGGACCAGTCACTGGAGAAGGACATCAGGTGAAGGGTTAGAGCCAAAGAGGAAGACCACCCAACGAGATGGATTGGCTAACTGGCAGCATCAGTGGACACAAGCATGGCAACTGTAGTGAGGTTGGCCAAGGATCGGGCATTGTTTCGTTCTGCTTTGCATAAGGTAGCTATGGGTTGGTACCGACTCAATGGCACCTAACAACAAAACTACCAGAGCTCCTTGTTTTTTGGTGAAACATATACAGTACAAAAATGTATACATTTGAATACCAAATCAACAATTTCTCCACATGCAGTTCAATGACAAAAGTTACTTACTTTACATTGTAGCACCATTCTCACTATCTTTACCCATATTGTTTTACCACACTTGATATAGACTCTTTGCAACCTTAACATTTTCATCTGTGCTTTAGGATTGCTGTTGTCAATTTAATCTCATATAGATACTTCTTTAAAATAATGCAATACTCAAGAGGGACGTTTTTTAAATCAATTGAGCTAAACTGTTTAGTTAAACATTACTTCATAGGTTGGTTTAGTGTCAACGTTTAAAATTTGTTTCTAGGCAAAAGATTGGGAAGGTCATCTGATCTCCATGAATCCTGTAAATCTATTTTCCATCAGCATTAGAATTTCTGTTTCACATCGTTTTCTCCTTTTGATCAGGATCCATGTATTAGGTGCTTGTGTTTTTTTTTTTTTTAATTAGTAATGGTAGCTGGATACCATCTATTTCTCCTAGTCTCATAGCTAATGGGATAGTAGATCATGGAGGTAGTCTACTAAGGAACTCATTTTAAATTATTCTGTTACCTTAGCTAAAGCTGTAACTGTTAAGTTTTAGAATATAGATACTGTATGCTAAGTTCAACCTCATGCTTTGTTCAATTTGCTAATAACTGGCTTATATTTATTGTGTGCCTCATTCCTCCTTGTTATTAGCAGAGAAACTAACTGGCCAGACATTTCCCCATCTTTACAATAAAAATTGAATGATACTTTATTCATCTAAATTTATTCTTTTCTTTTCTATTTCTATCATGAAAATTAAAATGAAAAATTCTAGAATAGGAAACCCATTACTTTTCTGATGAACATTCCCACTCCACTGCCATTGGGTCAATTCCAACTCATAGTGACTCTCTATAGGATTTCTGAGGATGCTAATATTTAAGGGAGCAGAAAACCTCATCTTTAGCCTGTGGAGAATCAGGTGGATCTGAACTGCCAACCTGACAATAATCCATTACTCATTCTGTAGCACCATCAACAATATTCAAAATGCAAGTTGTAATTCTAAAGAGAAGTTATTTCAGACTTGGTCACTGTTGGTGTTCACAAAAACACAGAAAAGCCAGAATGATATTAGATGTCAACTTTAATTTTGAGTTCTGTTTGAAATGTATACATATTTCCATCTAGATCATAATGTTAAAACTGGAAAATCCCTTATAACACATACCCACACACACAACTTTTATTTATACATATTTAAAAAAATTTTGACACTTAAGGGATCTTCAGTGGAAATTACAACAACTAATGATAGTGGTAAAGAATACAGTGATGGTAAATGGCATGAAGTAATCACTATTAGACATCAGGCTAATGGACAAATCACTCTGGATGGGCAGTATACAGGTAAAAACTTATTTGATATGTAAATAGTTTGACTGATACATTGATGTAGCTATACTTTTCTATTTGTATTATCATGCTTTTTCTATCTTCTTCATCACTCAATTTCATCGAAATTGCTGTTAAATTTACTTTCTGGGTGTTCCTAAAATCATGCCTGACACCCAGTTTCTCATTCATGCAGGTCTTTAATAAGGTAAAACTAAGGACTTCTTTCTTCTGTTTTTTCATGGAAAAGTAATTATCTGTGTTTTGATGGTGGTGATTAAGTGCTGTGGAATCAGTGCCAACTTGTAGCAACCTTGTATAGGGTTTCTGCGGCTGTAAATATTTATGGAAGCAAAAAGCTTCACCTTTCCCCCTTGGAACTGCTGGTAGTTTTGAACTTCTTACCTTGAAATTAGCAGACTGAATCATAACCACTATGCTATGAGAGCTCCTTAGCTGCATTATAGAGCTGAGGAAAGCAAGGCTCAGAAAAGATAAATAAAATTTCTCTCAATATACAGCTAGAATTCGTAGGCACTCTTAGGACACATACTCCTATGCTGCATTTCCTATTCTTGCTATTCTTTCCAGTGCACTCAATCTACTATCTTCTTGCAATTATAAAATATTTACAGTATCTATATGATGATGCATGCATGCTTTGATTAATTCTTTCATGAAATACGTTATTTAAATGGGACCAGGTATTGCTGTAGGCACTGTGGATATGAAAAACAAAACAAAACAAAACCCAGAGCATTATGAAACTTACTTGTTAGGGCAGAGAGGAAGAGACGGATTGAAGGAAAACTGAACTAGTATCAAGTGGTATAAATTCTAAGAACAATAAAGCAGAATGGAAAGTTGTGTGTGTGCCTGCGTATGTGTGTATCTCTGTATGTGTGCATACACAAAATTTGAAGGATTGTTACAAAAGGCCTTTATGGGTATGATAACATTTAAGCAGAGATCTGAATGAATGAAGAGAAAAACATGGAAATATCAGGGGGAAAGTGAGCAGGTAAGGAAATAAAAGGTGCCAGGCCCTGAGTTGGCAGCATGTTACACATGGCATTTCAGGGACCAACAAGGAGGCTAGTCTAGGGTAAAGAGAGTGAAGGAGCTAGTGACAGACCAGGAGGTGAGAGACCATTGGAGACCAGAATCTGTAGAGCTTGTAGGTTTCTACTTTGAAAGAGGGAAGTCAATGGATAAATTTGAGAGAGAAATTGCAAGAAATGACTTCTTTTTTCAAAAGGACAATCCTGAATTCTCTATTAAGGTTACTTTTTAAGGGTAAAAGAAAGCATGAAAATTAACTAATAGACCTCTGCAATAATTCAAATAAGAAATGATGGTGATTGGAGCCAGAGAGGTAATTGTGGATGTGGTAAGTGATCAGATTCTGTATCTATTGTGCAGATCAAATTAACAGGATTTAATGATGAGATTGAGGTAGAGTAAGCATTAGGAAACTATCATTTTATTGTCATACCCTGCCTGTTTGTTTTTCCAAATAAAATTTTATCGTAGGCTACCAATGACCATTTATTTATGCATTGTCTGTGAGTACTCGAGATCATGTGGCCTGCAAAGCTTAAAATATTGCCTCTCTGGCATTTTACAGAAAGACTTGGCTAAACCCTTGATGCAAGCTAAACGTGACTGCAAAGCTCAGGGTCTGCACAATAGAAGGATGTAGCTACCACAGGTGAACTGGGGAAGACAGTGGGGAGAAGCAGACTTGGAGAGATGTTCATAGCTCAGTTTGGAACTCATATAAAATCTACAAGGTTTCTAAGTGTGGACATATTAAGCAGGCTGCTGGATCTGAGTCTGAAGAGGGGTCAAAACTAGAGATACTAAGTGGCAATTGTCAGCTAAGGATTGTATTCAAAACATGGGACTCTTTGTACATGAGGCTAATTAGAGTTGTTCGGGGCTCTGGAAAAAATATTCCCACTTCTCATAAAAGAAGGGTCTTAAAATCTTAACTGGGATTTATAGAACTCTCAGGTTCAACACCCCTTTAGATCTTCAACTCTGATTGTTTGCACTGAAATCCAACCCTCTGTTCAGCCACCACTAGTCTGTCAGTTTGTTGTGCTGTGGTGGCTTGTGAGTCGCTGTGATTCTGGAAGTTTTGCCAGCAGAATTTTAATACCAACAGGGTCACCCATGGTGGACAGGTTTCAGATGAGCTTCCAGACGAAGACAGACTATGAAGAAGGAGTGACGAACTATTTCCGAATCGTTAGTCACTGAAGTTGTCAAGAACTACATTCTTCTTGGATCACCTATCAACACTCATGGAAGCAGTAGTCAAGAAATCAAACATCGTATTGCATTAGTCAAATCTGCTGCACAAGACCTTTTTAGAGTGTTGAAGAACAAAGATGACAGCTTAATGCGTGCCTAACCCAAACCATGGTATTTTCAATAACCTCATGTGTATGTGAAACTTGGACAGTGAATAAGGAAGACCATAGAAGAACTGATGCTTTTGAGTTATGGTGTTGGAGAATATTGAAAGTGCCATGCGCTGCCAAAAGAACCAATAGATCTGTTTTTGAACAAGTACAGCCAGAGTGCTCCTTGGAGGCCAAGATGACCAAACTTCGTCTCTCATACTTCAGAATTATTGTCAGGAGGGACCAATCGCTGGAGAAGGACATCATGTTTGGTAAAGTGGAGGGTCAGAGAAAAATAGGAACACCCCCAACAAGATGGATTGGCCAAGTGGCAGCATCGATGGACTCAAATGTGGCAATAGTAGTAAGGTTGGCCCAGGATCAGGCAGTGTTTTGTTCTGCTGTGCATAAGGTCGCTATGGGTTAGTACTGACTCGATGGCACATAACATCAGCAACATTCAGCCCTCAGAAACACCAAGAATAGAGGAAGGAATAGTGCAGTCAGTGTAGGTAGAGGCGGGAAGAGTTCTGAGAAGGGAGCAGGTAGGTCTGGGTCATCCCAACATCAAGAGTTTGTGTGATGAGTAAAGAAAAGTAAACAGGAGCAGTCACTTAGGTAAGAAAAGAATCAAGAGAAAGCAGTGTTCTAAAGGCCCAGTGAAGAGTTCCATCATCTGTTAAATCAGTTTAAATAGATTATCCTCCTGAAGTTGAAGTTCTCACCTCCTTTGCATAGGTTCCTCAGCAACCCTGAATGTTACCACAGTTACTGGAGATACCACAAGACTTTTTGTGGGAGGGCTGTCACAAGATTACACCATCCTCAGAAAGGATCATGGTGAGTTTGGTTAAGGTATAGAATTGTATTTTATCACCAAAATTTAGAAAATATTCCACTTATATTTAATTTTAAAATATGAATAACAGCTATATTTCTGTAATAAGTTTTATTTCATATTGTTGTTAAGTACCACTGAGTCCATTCTGACTCGTAGCAACCCTGTATAGTGTTTCCAAGGAGCTTCTGGTTGGTTTAAACCACCAACCTTGTGGTTAGCAGTCCAGTGCTTATCCTATAATACCACACCAGGACTCCTATAATATTATGTTAGGCTTCTTTATCCAAGGATATTTCCTGTATCATTATTTTAGGTTTCTTTATCAAAAGAACCATGTATTACTTGTATTTTTGTCAGTTTGCTGTTTTTTATAAATAAAAGGAGTTCATTAAACTTTTGGTAAATTGAATTACATTAATTTCAATGGCGCTATACAATAAGCACTAGTCTGCAAGGTCAGTTTGAGCTGCAAGATCAGCAGTTCAAATTCACCAGCCACTCCTCTGAAACCCTATACAGAGTCACTATGTGTTGGAACCAACTCAATGGCACTTAGCAACAATAATTAGTCAGACGGGTCTTTATATTAAAGTTGTATTATGCATCACCTCTTTTAAGATTTTAAATTAAATGTCAGACAACACAGAAATGAAAAACTATGAACTTGGACAAATAGCAGGAATGAGGCTACATGAGTAGTTACTCTGTGAGTAGTTACTGCTAAACCAGTCCTTGCATAGATATAAATGAATAAAACATGGTCTAAGTAGCAGTAAAAGGTACAGCTACATAAACAAATCATTCTAATCTAATGCCACAAATGCTATTGTTGAGAGATGGACAGAGTACTTTCCATAATTAGAGGACAAGAGAACAAAAATGCACTCTAAACTAATAAAAACAAATATAAATAAAATTAACCTTATGTAGAAAAAAATCACCCTTCAAATGTGTTGCTAATGATTCTAGGATTGTCATCCAAGTTCTCATCAAGAGTAATATGGTGCCTCCAGGTTTCTTTCGGGATGTTAAAATGTAAGTAACGTAAGGGAGTCAGTTAATTATAATTAGTTCCAGGATTATGGCCTTCAGGGAATCAAGATGAAGAAGATCAAAAGAAGTAGAAATTTTTGGTGCATTTGGCTAGGGATGCATTCGAATCCTCAAGACTGATTAGTAATGTCTCTAGAGTAGACAAGGTATTCATTCTATTACTTTGGACTGGTAGAAATTTCTCTTTAAAATTTTCACACAGATACACATACGCACAATCTCACACATTCAGTCACTCATACTTACAGACTTTGGTCCCTTCCTTTACCCATTAAGTAGATTTGTGGGCTATGGCAGGTGAAGACAACAGAAGGAAAGAATACTCTGACACCAAGTACCCTTTCTAGAGTGAGCATATCTTCAATATAAATAAATAATTTGACTTATCTATGCAACACTGTGACTGCTTGTGAATAACTTTCCTAGAACCCAGTCACCAACTCAAACATTGAGAACTAAGCTTTCAACCTATAAAAACCAAATCCATCAAGTTGATTCTTATTTATAATAACACTATAGGAAGGAGCTCTGGTAGGGTAGTGGTTACAAATTGGACTGCGAACTGCAAGGTCAGCAGTTCGAAACTACCAGCTGTTCCACAGGAGAAAGATGAGGCTTTCTGCTCCCATAAAGATTTACAGCCTCAGAAACCCTGTACAAGGTCACTATGAGTCAGAACCGACTCCACGGTACATAACAACAACAACAATAGGACAGAGGTTGGTGATTCAAGGCCACCAGTCACTAGGCCACCACCACCATAGGACAGAATAGAGATGCTTCTTAGGGTTTCTGAGACTGGAAATGTTTACTGGAGTAGGCACTCATCTTTGTCATGCAGAGCAGCTGGTGGCCTGAACCACTAACCTTGTGATTAGCAGCCCCATGTGTAACACATTGCACCATCAGAACTCTTATGAAATAGGACCTCAGTAGTCAATTTTGTGCTTGTTCGCCAAGATGACTTCTCTCCCTTTCTATTATTTTCTTGCTCCCTCTCCTCCTGCTTTCAAAATTTTTTTCTCTCCTAACCCTATCATATAATCCTATTAACTGTATTAACAAGCTCTAAATATACCTGGTCTTGAGAGTTAGAAATTTCAGTTCAAGATTATACTAAATATTGAATTGCTAAATGTGAAAGCAAATAATCATTTGAATAATGTAATGTTTCATGGTGAAGAATAAACTAAGCTATAAAATATAATTTAATATAACAATACCCTTCAAATCTTTCACATTCTGAAAGTTATTATAATCTTTTATTTTTAAAACAAGTAGCAGATAAAAAAAATTCCCAGCTAGCTTCAAAAGTTAATATTCTTGGTTCTACTGAAAAACCAGAATTTTCTCTAAAACGTTTGTTTCTGCTGATATGCTGTGTCTGAACCAGGGATAAATTTTATAAATATTACCTTTTTTACTGAAGCCGATGATGTGATGTTTGCAAGAATGGTTAAGATGTTTGCAGTAAATAGGTGGTGAGAGCTATTGTTGATTTCTCTGACTCAAATGGCAAGTAAAGTTAATTACTTGAAAAGAGTATTTAAAATAACATATTTCTTAATATATATCCACTCCTACAGCGATAAATCCAAAGGGCTTTGTGGGTTGTCTCAAGGATGTGCATTTTTTGAAGAATCAAAATCCCTCTACTGTCTGGGAACCTCGGACTGGCAGAGTTCGGAAGAGCAAGTCAGTGTGTGTAGCAGCTGGGCAGGATGTCCCACTTCATTAAAAGAGGCATTCCAGTTCCTAGGAGCAAGTAAGGTTCTAAAATAGACATAAGTGATGTTTATTATGTGTGTTGATACTTGGCATAGTTAAATTTCTTCTGTTCAGTTTCTAAGTCCTCATATGGATCTAGTATACACAAAAATGCCTAGCTATATTCTGAAAGTCTGAATATGTAATATAAATTGTAAAACTCATAAAAATATACTCATGCGTAAGATCTCTGGAAGCCCATGGTAGCGCTCAGTTTTCATATGTTAATGTCACAAAGGTCCATTTGTAAATATGTTGTTTGGAAATCAGACTATTGATTCAAAGGAGTTTTGTTTACCAAGTGAACTCACAAAGACCTATTTATCCCATTGTATAACTGAAGGAAATTCCTAGAGGTAAAATTTCAGTTCTGCAATGAGTCGAATAAGCTATTGAAGGAGAACTGAAATGTAACCATTGTCCCTGCCATAGTTTCAATGATTTCAGCAAAAACGTGATGTGTGGTAGACATGGCACATCTCCTCACTTGCAATCTCTGCTTTGGCAGCCACCCAAGGTGAGGAAGTAGAAGGAACTATAATGGCTTGGTGGCAGGTCTTGTTCATCAAATAAGAGCCCATCTCTGCCTCCTACATTTATGACTAAGTTCCTTAGTTATTACATGACTTAAACTACCTTTGGAACAGAAATAACAATATAATCTGTGCAGTTTTTCATTGTTCTTTTCTTATAATTGGCTAAGGTCCTCTCAACCAGTACAACAGGCATATCAATTCATTCAGCCATTTCTTACAATGATAACAGGAATTTCTTAACACTGATTTACATATTCTAATGTGAGAGATTTATTCAGTGAGAGTATGTCTTAGAGTCTTAGAACACCCTTAGGATGGCAGTGATACTACACTGTTGGAGTCAGTAGCTAGGTGCAGTTGAGTCTGTTTCAACTCATGCCAACCCAATCTGACAGACTAGAACTGCTTCATAGGGTTTCCTAGGGTGTAATCTTTAAGGTTCAAACACACCAGCTGCTCATTGGAAACTCTATACAGTTTTCACTATGAGTTAGAATGGACTTGATGGCACTTAACAACAATAACAATCTTTAAGGAGCCATGGTGATATTGTAGGATAAGAATTGGACTGCTAATCACAAGGTCTATGGTTTAAACCCATTAGTGGTTTTGAGGGAGAAATATAAAGATCCCATGATGATTTACAGTCTTGAAAACACTATGTAAGGTTATTATGGGTTGTAATTGACTCGATGGCAGTTGGTTGGATTTTTGTTCAATCCTTAAGGGAGAAGCTCACCAGGTCTTTTCTCCCAAGGAATGGCTTGGTGGGTTGGAATGCAAACCTTTCTTTTAGCAGCTGAGTGCTGAACTTCTGCACCACTAGGATACTTGGATCTGACGTTAGACATGCTAATATGTACTTTAAAAAACATTTAAAAAATGTTTTATTGTGAATTATGTGATAGTTTACATGGGAGAACATTAGTTTTACATTCATTGTATCACATATTAGTTTTACATTCATTGTTTCATTGCCATGGTTACAATCCCCTCCATGCATCATCAACCAACCCAAGGGTATACACTATAAGCCTGCCCCCCGGTCATCAGTACACTGCCCCTCTCTCTCTCTGTGTCTAAAGTCCCAGCTACTACATCTCTCCACATCATCGTCTCTGCCTCCATCTCAGGCATCACTGCTTCTCTGGGTAGGGTCCCACTCTCCTCTCTTCTCCCTTGATGGTCCCAGGGACCTCCACTCCTAGACTGAAAAGTTAATCACTCCCCTCCTTGCTACAAAATGTCTACCTTTACATTTCCAACCCTCACAATCAGTCCTGTTAACAATTATTCACTATTGTATCACAAGAGACCCATCCTCATCTCCTTTCATCAGCCCCACCTAGAAAGATTGGATACTATTCAGTAGAGATTCTACCTTCCTCCAAGGCCCCTGGCTCTAGATTCCCTCCTGAAAGCTTGTAAGCCAGTCACTTCTTGCCTTTGTAGCTCCCCTCCCCCCATTTTGGGTAGCCAATGTGCAAGTTGCACATCCTTGTCTTCTCTGTGTATGGAGTGGGTGGGAATGATCCTTGCTGTAAAGATTTGTTCCCTCTTTTGAGCTACTGCATCCATTGGTGTAGGTCAAGTACATGAAATTGTACCAGATTCCTGTTTTTTTCCTCTTCTTTCTTCTGGTTGGGCTCTGATCATCCATTCATTGAAGCCAGGCTAAGTGAGTATTATCTGCAAGTGAGTATTATCTGCAAGAGAGAGCATATGCCCTCTCTTCTTATCAGCTGGATGCTTCACTCTCCTCTCTAGTCCTCTGTGCCTATGTCACTGACTCTGGGCCCAAGAGTCACCAGGTCTTGCCACACTGCTGGCCAACCATGTCTCCACCTGGGTTCACAGGAGTCTGTATAGAACATCGTAGGGCTTAACTTGCAGCTTCATTGCTGTTTTTCCCTCACTTCCCCTTATCAGTGACGAGTGTGGTCCCCAAACAGAGCATGCATCCCCAATGAGTCTTAGTCTTGGAAAAGGGTTTACACTGCGGGGACCCGACCACTTGTCTTGATGTCTCATGGGCAAGCAACTTGCTTGTTCTTGTAGCAATCAGTTGGTCTGCCTATATTGTTTTGTATTTTTCCTGTAGGTCTTAATTTCAAGAAGTATCTTCTGTTCTTCTAGCTGCTCCAGGCTGGTCTGCTTGTCCTTTCAAGTGGAAATTTCCCATCTCTGAAGATCTGGATGTGGTTCAGGCTTCTATAATCTTACATAATGCAGAGGCTCCTTAGGAAGCCTCCTTCACTGGGCATGTTTTAGCCCCATTTTAAGTATTCCAATCAGTTATAGGCAGAAGACAGACTTACAAGTTTTCAAGGGTGATGTTTCTGGCTCTTCCTTTCTCTCCCCCTCCAGTGTCTATTTTATAATATAATGCAAGGAAAACCAAGATGCAAAAGACAGCCAAGCATCTTAACATTATTCCCCCCTTTTCTCCATTCCAACCATGTCTCAATCTCTGTATCCCAGAGTCCTGTTGTTCCAAGGTTGTGCATACATCATTATGTACCTCACTTTGCCCATGTAAACTTGCCTAATTGTTCTCCTATCTGCTTTGTTCTTCATTCCCCTCTCCTTTCTTGTGTATTGGCCCCATTTCCAGCACCCAAACTATCCTGTGTCTATCCCTTGCCCTGTGCTCCACCTTCCCCTCCCTCCCTTCACCCCCCCCCCTTTTTTTTTTTAATTTTCTAAAGGGTTCCTGGAACTTCATTCATATATATTTACTTGTGGAATGGACTTTGAGATTTTCTTTAAGTTCAAAACTGACCAGTTGAATGGATTGCTTCTTTTTGTTTACAACAAAGATGAACCAGACTTTCTTGCTGTATGTCAATTTAATTAAATTTACTCTAAAATGTAAGACCCAACTTAAATCTATAAGCCATGTGCTAAGATGATACTCAATTGAGGTTTCTTTGCAGATTTATCTTTGTTCCCCCTGCCCCAACTAATTATGGAGGTTTAGAGTTCTATCAGTTTATAGTACAGGATCATGATGAAATTTTTCAGTGACAATTATTGCTGCTAATCTTTTAGTTCTGCCAAAACAGACTAGAAACTAAGAGTTAATACAACCAAATTTCATTTTGCTGGCTTTAGGATTCTAAGATAATTTCATTTCATTGATTTTTGCATATTTCTAGTTTATATAATGTCAATGTTTTTCACCAATGTAAATAAAAATTCATCCCTTTACTGTTGTTGTTGCTAAGTACCACAGAGTCAGTTCACAAATTGTAGCGACACTGTATTGACTTTCTGAGGCTTTAAATCTTTGCAGGACCAGAAAACCTCATCTACTTCAAAGGAGTGACTAGGTGAGCTTGAACCATCGACCTTGTGGTTCACAGCCCAGAGCTTATCCTACAGAGTCACTGCAGTCCCCACCCCTTTGTATTAGTATTAGTTATTACAATTTCTACTGATTTAATGTTTTATATGTCTTCTTGTTTGTTAGCCTCCATACTGGAACATAATCTCTATAAGTACAGGGACCTCGATTATCTTCTTTACAGTTTTATCCTCAGTGCCTAACTCACTTAATAAGTGAATGGTTGAACATGTGAATAAATTTATGTTATGGCAGCACTGATCAAACATTCTTTATTCATCTTCATGTGCATTAGCTATGTGGAGGCCGGAAAGATACTTAGGAATTGGTTCTTCCTCTAGAGAAGTATGTCTCCATTGATAACTCTCCCATCCTGCTATGCCACTCTTTGGTCCTCCGTTTCTCCATTCACTGTCTTTTGAAATATGATCAATTTTCATGGTGGCTCTGAAGTATAAACACTGGGTTATGAACTCATTCACTAGTTGGAAAAAGGTGAGGTTTTATGCTTTTGCAAAGATTTACATCCTTGCAAGTCCTGGGGTGGTGCTGTGAGATAAAGCACTAGACTGCAAAGTTGGTTTGAACCAGAGGGATGGTGGTTCAAACTCACCAGCCACTCCTTAGAAACCCTGTACAGAGTCACTGTGAGTCGGAACTGACTCCATGGCTCTTAACAACAATACAGCTATGAAGGAAGTGTTACTGCTAGGTACTGTTGAGTTGGTCCTAACTCATAGTGATACTATGCACAAGAGAACAAACCATTGTTGGATCCTGCACCATTCTCACAATTGTTATGTTTGAGCACATTGCTGCTACCACTGTGTCAATTTATCTTATTTAGGATATTACTCTTTTTTTCTGACCTTCCACTTTTCCAAGCATAATGTCCTCCTTCAGGGACTAGTCCTTCCGGATAATATGTCCAAAGTACACGAGACAAAGTCTCCCCATCTTCACTTCTAAGGAGCTTTCTGGCTGTTCTTCTTCCAAGACAGAATTGTTTGTTCTTCTGAAATTCCATGGTACTTTCAGTGTTCTTTACCAACACCATCATTTACATGACCTATGGTCTTCCTTATTCATGGTCCATCTTTCAAATGTATTTGAGGCTCTTGACAATACCATGGCTTGGGTCAGGCACACCTTAGTCCTCAAACTAACATCTTTGCCCTTGAATACTTTCAAGAGGTCTTGTGCAGCATATTTGCCTAATGCAATACATTGTTTGATTTGTTATTACTGTTTCCATGAGTGTTGATTTTGGATCCAAGCAAACTGAAATGTTTGACAACTTCAATCTTTTCTCCATTTAACATGATGATATTTATTCATTGGTCCAGTTGTGAGGATTTTTGTTTTCTTTACATTAGGTGCAACCCATACTGAAGGCTGTTGTCTTTGATCTTCATCAGTAAATATTTCAAGTCCTTTTTATTTCCAGGAAACAAGATTATATCATCTACATATGGCAGGTTGTTCATAGTCTTCCTCTAGGCCTGGAGTTACGTTTTCCTTCATGTCATCCAGGTTCTCTGAGTGTTTGCTCAGGATACAGATTAAATAAGTATGGTGACAGGACACAACCCTGAAACATACCTTTCCTAATATAAAGTACTCATTACCCCCCTATTCTGTTCTGGCAATTGCCTCTGGTACAGGCTCTTCATGAATAAATTAAGTTTTCTGGAATTGCCGATTCTTCACCTTGTTATCCATAGTTTGTCATGATCCATGCAGTTGAACACCTTTGCATAATCAATAAAGTACAAGTAAACATCTTTCTGGTAATCTCTACTTTTGGTCAAGATTGTCTGATATCAGCAATGATTCCCTGGTTCTATGTCCTTTTCTAAATCCAGCTTGAATTTCTAGAAGCTTGCATGTGATATTAATGAGATTATTTGATGATTTACACTTTCTGTTTTCTGTTAGGTCACCTTTCTTTGGAATGGGCACCAATATAGATCTCTTGTAATCTGTTGGTCTGGTAGTTGTCTTCCAAATTCCTTGGCATAGACAACTGAGTGCCTGTAACATTGCATCACTTTGTTGAAACATTTTAATTTATATTCTGTCGATTCCTGGAGTCTTGTTTTTGTTTTGTTTTGTTTTTGAGAATGTCTTCAGCGCAGCTTGGATTTCTTCCTTTAATGCCATCGATTCCTCTTGAAATGGTTGAGCATCAATGAATTCTTTTTGATACAGCAACTCTGTGTATTCCTTCCATCTTCTTTTGATGCTTCCTATATCATTCCATTGTTGTCTGTAGAATCATTCAATACTGCTCTATTGCTTGACTTTGTGTCAGGTATAAGACTGCAAAATACTTCATTCTATGTTACTACAGTTCTGTTTAAATATAAACAGAAATTTGTACTAAGAACTTTTAGTGAGATTTTTTTGCTTCCCTTCCAGAAATTAATCTTTTGCCTTCTCCCAAACACTTATTCTGTAATGTTTTTATATACCTAATTTCTTTTCTAATTTGAAATACAGATGAAGCTAAAAAGTGGAACATTGAGGTTCCTGTTAAATACCAATCTTACGTTTATGCAAGTGGGTCTATGGCTGGGGCTGTCTTAATGTGATGGAAAGTGGAATAAAGTGACTATGAAAAAGGAAGCTTCAGTCATATGGACAAGTATGAATGAGCTGACAGAGCATGTATCAGAGTCCAGGGTCCAGCCTCTGACGGTGAATTCCCCCATCTACCTAGGAGGAATCCCACAGGAACTGCACAGCACTTTTAAACAACTGAGTTTAAAACAACGTAAACTCCATTTGGAAGAATTCACAAATTACTAAAGAACTGCTCCTTTGGGATTTCAGTGGTTCAATATAGCATCGAATCTGATTGAAATCAATATGCACCTATCTACCCACCCCACACTTTTTTTTTTTAGAAGTTTTAAATCCTTATAAAAGAAAATATCACAGGATACTTCTTCAGGTAATTTTGTCTGTCACCCCTCAATGTATTCTAACATGCCTAATTTAATCAGTTTATTTATTCTAACATGTCTTCATCAAATATAATTATAATTACTATAAATAAGTATATTTCTTTATTTGTTTTCTATGAAAATGCATATGATACTAGTCCTTTTTGATACTGATCATTTTCTGTAGCTTTGCATAAATATAAGTTGATATGCACAACTAGAAAAAATGGCAAGTCATTTATTGCTTTGTTTGATATAAATGCTATCTCTTTCTTTTATTTCCCAATTAAGCTGTTATGGGGCAAAGCACATAAAATAGTTTATATTAGTTGAGTTTCAAACATGCTTGTGGAAATCTATATATTGTTGATTATTAACAGACATAAGATAAAAGTGTTTTACTTATAACTAAAGCAAGCATTGAAACTCATGTAAGTTTGAACTTAAGTGATATACGATTAATAAGAGTATAAAAAGGCTAGGGCATTGTGTGTGCCAGATAGGGTTCTGAGAACTTTGTATGTGAATAAGACAGTCAACTTTTATAATGAGGTAATGAATTCGGTGTTAGTTTTTATCTACATTGTACAGATGTGGAAGAAGAGAGAGGAAAACAACTTGCCCAAGGTCACATGGGGAAGAAGCGCACAGCAAACCTAGAATTCGGTCTTAGGATGCCTGATAACCAAATCTATTCTCATTATCTTCATGTGTCCGTTTTATGGAAATCGGCCAGTGATCTTTCTTTATAAAGTGGGAATAAATACAGAAACTTCCTTCATGTAACTAAGCATGCACCCATGTAGTAAATGTTCTCTGTGTATTAAAAAAATCTCTGTACCTTGAATGGTTAAAATTTTCATGAACCATTCTTTGCCTATTTGGTAAGTACATAAAGACTTAAATACCTTTGAATAGGAAATATATGGCAAATCCTGAGGAGACTTTTAGAAGGGTACTAGTACGGAGTTAATGAATAGCTGGGGTATAAGACAGTAATGACATTTTCAAGGCACTTAAGATGTAACAGCAGCTAAAAATATTACATTCTTATAAGAGCTTCTCCAGGACTTCTGATTTCTGAGATTAGAAAGAGTTTGCAAATGCTTTGAATGGATTGCATGATCCTATTTAAATCTAGAAGGAAAAAAAAAAAGTGAAAACAAAACAAATAAACCAAAACTCTGCATATCAAGGTTAGTGCTCTCAAAATACATCAAAACCCATTAATATTATGATTGTAGAGATCTGATTAAAACTAGAATTGTAAGATGGTGAGGAGAGACATTTAAAACATCACCAAAGACCTAAGGGGGATAATTTCGCCTATGAGATGACTAAATCTGGGATACTGAGATATTTTATTTATGAGTAATACTAAATTTTTATCAGGTCACTATCATTTGTATCGGTGCTTCTCAAACCACTGATAACATATTGAAGCACAGTAGCTGGAATATAGTAAGAACTCAATAAAATTACTATTATTATATAGTCACCTGGAGAGGTTGTTAAAAAATGCAGCTTTTATGATGCTGTCGCTTAAGATTCAGATTCAGATGCTTTGGGAAATCCTGATCAGTATCAAGAATATTCATAGTGCAGAGGTGTTAGAAGCATGTAGTACATTGCAATGGAAATGAATCATGTGCACATAATGTATTTTCTCCAATCTCTTATCAATGGTCTTAAAAATCTTTCATTCCTTTCGTATGACTTTTAATTAGTAAAGCGTTTTGTTTCTTTTTTCTTTCCCCAGAAGCTCTAGTTTGTGATGTTATTGTTGTTGTTATGTGCCGTTGAGTCAGTTCTGACTCACAGTTGATCCTTTATAGGGTTTCCGAGGCTGTAAATCTTTATGGGAGCAGAAAGCTTCATCTTTCTCCCACGGAACAGCTGGTAGTTTCGAACTGCTGACCCTGAGGTTAGCAGCCTGATTTGTAACCAGTCTGCAACAGAGCTTTGTGAAATTAGTGTTATTTTTTTCCCCCATATCTGTTAAAAATAATCTTTTTAAATCAAATGCAAAATTAATTTCCCTTCTTTGCTTTAGAAACACTGGGCCACATAATTTGCTAAAGAAATGTGCCACCTCAGATCATGGTATTTCATCTCTGAGGTCTATCACTTAAGTCTGGATTAAGAGTGACAAGGCCAGACATAGGGTACACCCAAAATCCCACAGGTTACACTCTGTTCAGAGCAGCCAGATGAGAGAGTCAGGATGGGATAAAAGCAAGGTCAGTCTGCCTAGTGCCCTGGTACAGGATTGCCTCCCAAAGCGGAAGGACTACTGCTTTGCCTGTTTGTCAAATCAGAGCTCTAAACCAACAGATTGAAGTTTGGGAAGCAAGGTGTGTCTTTTGTAGATTGCCGTATAGGTAGAGAGGCACGAAAAGGACCAGCCTTAACTTCTTCCCACAAACATGCCTTTTCTTCTCTTTTCATTCTCACATTCCCTTCAAAACATTAAAAAAAATTGGGGGAGGGCAGAGTAAGATACATATAACAAAATATTTGATATTTCAACCATTTCCACATGTACATTTCAATGGCATTGGTTACTTTCACTAGTGTGTGCAACCATGACTATTATCCCCACTTCCAATGATTTTGGTGGTGTTAATGCTTGTTTCTGCTAGGATTGTTTCTTGTGGTACGGAATTGGACTTCATTAGAAGTCACTTTGGCTGTCTGGTGCTGAGGATACCATTGTGAGAAAGCCACAGAGAGCTCAGACACCTTTTCTTCTAAGACTTGAGGCTACAGTACCATGTTCTAAGCACTTACAAACCTCATCTATAGCTCTGTGAACCTTTTTATTTATCCCCCAAATAAAGGAACACTATCTCCATGGTCTTATCCAAATTTAAATTTTTGTCTCATGAATTTTCTTTTCTGTTTCCTTTCTTTATAACAGAACTTACATGCACTCCTCTTTCAAAAATGCACTTTCAATTTTCTCATTTTGTTGGTAGGGAAATTAAGATACAGAGAATTTGGGCCATTCAGCCGTGTGCCATCAGAAAATGACAACTGGTAAAGAAATTAGAATTCTTAGTTGTTGAATTTTCAAGCAGATGCTCTTCTATTGAGCTTCAATGCTTTCAATTCTATGTATCAAACTTATTGTCTATTGTGTGTTCAAGCTAGACTAGCAGTACTGATCAGTTGGATCTTAAGAAAGGTGAATAATAGTAAAAGACATTTAAAAGGAAATAGGCTGCAACATAATGTGTTAGAAGACATAATAAGACATCATATAAATGCTGAATAGTACAATATGGTCACTGCTACTATTAACTTATTTTACTGGTAAGCATTGCATTAGACTGTATTCTCATTTCCTGCTGATGTGCTTTAATCTAGATAAGAGCTAATCATGTGTTTGGGACCTTTTTAAACAGGAGAGTGTTTTGTTCTTAAAAAGTATATGTGTACTGCTGCAATCCCAAACTAGGTTCTATTGGTTCTCCTATTATACTTTCGTGTAGTTCCTTGAACAGAGGAGTACTGTCAAATCTCATTGGACTGATCTCTCTTTACACAAAAGAGCATGCAACTCAAAGCAACTGCTCTTCCCAAGCTGACTGGATGCCTATGGTTCCCAAACAACAAAAAAAGTAGTGACTACTCTAAATCCATTTCATCTTCATTCTCTGTTAAACTTAACAGAACTACATTACACCATGCCCTTTCTAAATTAAACTGTGTAGAATGTACTCTCTTTTGAAATCTCAGGGTATTCACTGTTGCCAAAGGCAAATGCTGGTCACTGCCGTGCTAATGTAAATGGGAAACTGGTGACCACTTTGAGTACTCAAGACTGTGGAACTCAATGAAATGGCAGAACCCAGTAATAGCTCTTTTGTGCATTTATTTAATTGGAAGTAAATTCTCATCCTGTGATCTAATTATCATGCTATTTGTGGCACTATCTCAGGAGTCTAGTATATTTTGTCACTCCTACTATTCTGCATAAAAACTTCAAAGGGTGTTTTTCCTTAGTAAGCTTGTTGAGTAATCATATTAATTAAAATGTCTTTTTGGACACTTAAACACTGACATATATGTAGGTTGTAATATTTCCCATAGCCCTCTACCACCATGCACTGTTGTCTACATTTTATTTTATGGAAAGAAACAGAACAAGAAAAGACAGACCCTAAGGAATAAAATACATGCTTTTTAATATCAAAAGTTGAATGACAATTATCAGCATTTTTTTTTCAAAATAAAAGAAATAGACATGTCATTGAACAGTTTAACCTGATGCAAAGCAGGAAAATACAGAGAGAATTTCCCAAAGGAGATTTGAAAATTGAACACTTGTATTTAAACCCTACCGTCATCCCATTGAAATGTAGTACTGCAGAGGACAACAATGATTGGTAATTAACGACTCAAACCCTTCACTATTTGCTAGGTTTCGGTAGTTGCATGAAGGATGTTACATTTACACGGGGTGCTGTCGTTACCTTGGCATCTGTGTCCAGTAGTGCTGTCAGAGTCAATCTGGATGGATGTCTATCAACTGACAGCGCTGTTAACTGCAAGGGAAATGACTCCATCCTGGTTTACGGGGGAAGGAACACAGTGTTTTTGAGACTTGTCTCCAGCCTTTCACAGGTAACGTGGAAGCCCTCCACATTCAGTGTTACATGTCTCCTACGCATCTCCTTTACCCTCTCACCAGCCTACCACTGACTCTAGATGAGTAATGTTTTAATATTTCTCCTTATTATTTCCATTTAAGAATACCTGTATCGAGTGATTGCCTCCGACAAAGGAGGTTCAGTATATAGTGACTGGAGTCGGGGATACACAACAGGAGCAGGTAAATACTATTTATCTTAAAATGTTTATGTGCACACACAGGCATGTGTTTGTGCATACATGTTTGTGTACGTATAGAAAAGTTGAGATGATCGCCCAAAAGTAGTTTCTGGGTAATCCTGTGACAGATCATGCACATGTATATGAAAATAGCGAAACGATTAGTAGATTGGTGCTTTTGCTATTTTGTTTGCTTAGTATTTGCCCAAGCTTGATTCTTTCCTCTTAAGATGCAAAAATAAAGTCAGGTTGTCATGAGGATTTAATATGGGCATGTCAATGGCAATATGTCTAAGGACAGGGTAATTTTCAGAATTAAGAAGCTGAAACAGGATTACTGCTAGATTAGAGTGGTATGGTAGGTAGTCTCTTGTCTCTCTTGCAGAGAGTTACGTTGGAAACCTGTACCTTTGTTTGAAACAGCTTTGTGTTTTATCACATCACAGCAGCTGTTTGCCATGGTGTTGACTATTAGGATCTTATGATGACTCCCCCAGGATAGAGCTGAGAAGAAACTGCTGATTTGCCTAATATTTTGAGTTGGAAGGGAAATAACTGGGATATAGAATACATTAGATCTAATCTCACACCACTGACTTGTAAGTGCTTTATATTTCTAAGACCACAGAATCATTTAAGATTAAGATAATGCCACCTGATGAAGGATCTCTTCATAAAATAAACTTTATGAGTCAGTAGCCCTCTACCGTTTGGGATCAAAATATCTGTCAGGGACACAAACATATTTCCAAGTGTCTCTTGAAGAAAGCATATCCTTGATAAATCACAATCTAAAGATACGTTTTGCACCAAAATATTCTCTCATATTTATTATTCACACTGGTTTATCAACCCAGGCATCCTTTGAGGAATCTTCTTAATCTAAAAGATAATTAAGTTCTTAGATGTTGTTGTTGCTGTATGTGCTGTCAAGGTGATTCTAACTCATTGCAATCCTATATCGCAGCGATTCCAACTCATTGCAATCCTATATAGGGTTTCCTCGGCAGTAATATTTATAGGGACAGATTGCCAAGTCTTTTCTCCTGCGGGTTCAAATGGCCAGCCCAACATTTGCTTAGCTAGCCAAGTCTTGGGCTCAGAGGTGGCCTACTAAGAAATATTTTTCTTCTTCTGGAAAATTTGTAGAGATTTTCCAGAAGAGAAAAAAAACAAACAAACCATGATACTTCCCAAGTGTTATTTAAGTTTATCATCTAGTAATACTCAGGTGTTGCTGTAGGATAAGCACTGGCCACAAGGTCAGTTTAAATCACAAGGTCAAACTCACCAGCTGCTCCTTGGAAATCCCATACGGGGTCGCTGTAAGTCAGAACTGACTTGACTGTAGTTAACAACAACAACAACAACAACAACAAAAACTTAATGATATCTTAAAATGTTTTTTTCAACTTCAAAGCTAGGACAAAGCTTGAATATAAAGTGATCATTTGGTACTGGCATGTATTCTGCCCCTATTTCACACTCCTTTACCTTATTAACAAATATGTTATGAAATCTAGTTTGAGTACAAGTCAGCAACGTAAATAGGTGGCTTGAAATTGCATTAATTAGGTAGCTTAATAGTCTCCATTTTGAATACCACCAAGAAAGTATGCAAATAGCGGTCTGAGTTTATAGCAATGAACTGACAACGAAGTCTTATGCCATAAATTCATATTTACAATCTGACCACAACACTGAGCAGCTACATGCTCCCAAGGGTTGGAGAATAATTGCACTATTTAATTATTTTTGAGTCAGTTTTGCTCTGTCCCTTATGAGAAGACCATCTGTTAGATAGTACTGTACTGTACCCTGTACCACATTTCAGAACGAATAAAATCAACATCTCTCCCATTGTCCATTTACTTGCAACTCGATTGTGTGGTGGAGACTGTTTTCTGTAGGTTCTGATGGTGTTTTAAGTGCACAAGCAGAGGTTCTCCATCTGAGTACATCGCCCCTATCCTTTATGTTCACTTTGTTCCCCCTGAAGCTGTTCTATTTCATGGGTTTGAACAGTAAAGTCAGAGAAGGAGGATATTTGATGTGGGCAAACCAGAGTGATCCTCCATCGACAGGGCTCGGGAGTGCACGAGCAGTTAGAGCAAGTCGCTCATCCATCATCCTGCCACAGAGTTCCTTGGGCTTTTTCTTTGTGTCCCCAGTGCAGTCAGCTGTGATGAAGTTGTTACTGATCAGAACTGTAGAAACATCTATTAAATAGTTAAAAGCTATGGATTTTTTTTTTTTTTTTTAAATTAGGGGACCTTGCTTGTATATGAGGTTGGCATTTCCTTTCCACTGCCTCATTTTGGGATATTGTTTAGAGATACTTACTCCTAAGAAAACTTCTCAGGAAAAGATTTTGTTTAATCTCAAGGGCACCAGTCTTCCCTGCCCTCCAAAATGCAATTAGGAATGTATCTAGTATATCATATCTGGTCGAACTTAGCTTTTAAAAATTTCATTCAAAAACACAATTGAATTTGGAAAATGGAACCAAAATTCAAGTCCAACACGATTACATTTGTGATTTTTTTTTTTTTTTTGGCTAATCCCTTGAAGATATAAAAGTGTCAAACCACTATGTATAATAACTGTCTAATTATCTTGCTTCAAAGGGGTACATCGTTATATTGCTTGAACCTGTTATCTGCCTACCATCCACCTCCTTCTTTATGAGTGATGTTTAAACATGTCGGCTACATTAAATGTTTTTGGAAAACCTGGACTAGACTTGAAAGAATGTTATGTCGATGGAGTTTTGATGGTATTGAAATATAGCTTAAACTGAATGGCTCAAGATGTGCAGTCATATTAAATCAGTGCTGAAAAGTTACAACTGTAATAAATTGTATTTATGCTAATGGTTGAGTCTGATTTACTGCAGCCATTAAAAGTGAAGAATAGGAGCATAGTCTTCTCCGAACTGCCATTTTCTCTATTTTCTATTTTATTCTTTCACAGTTCCTCAAAGCATGCCAACTCCCTTAAGAGCCAGCAGCATAAATGGATATAGCATTGAAGTGACTTGGGATAAGCCTATTGTGGTTAGAGGTGTAATTGAGAAGTACATTCTGAAAGCATACAGTGACGACAAGTCCCAACCACCCCTTGTGCCCTCAGCCAGTGCTGAGCTGATCAACAAACACCAGCATCCTCACAGGTAAAGGAGATTCCTTAATGGGGGTTATCAATTTCCTTTATAATTTTAAATAAATTTTTTCTTAGGAGAGGCACTAGATTGCTAACCACAATGTCAACATTTCAAACCCACCAGCCAGGAAACCCTATACAGGGTTGCTATGAGTCAGAACTGACCCCACCGCACTTAACAAAAATAGCAACAAGTATATGTGAGATATATATATATATATATATTCATGGATGGCTATATTGTTGATGTTAAGTGACATCGAGTTAGTTCTGCCTCATAAGCCATCCCTGTATAGGGTTTCCAAACAGTGTCTGGTGGATTTGAACCACCAACCTTGTGGTTAGCAGTCCAGTGCTTATCTGATAGTGTTACACCAGGACTACAGGATGGCTATTTTACAAGGCTGATATTATCTCTATCCCCAAAAGATTAGGTCATAGGTGGGTATAGCTGGTTAACATTCCTGAAGCACCTTTTTAGGGATCCTTTGTGTACTGTGTACAGGGCCAGCTTACATATTTCACCAAGCAAAATTTACTCTTTGGGACTAGCCCAAGTTCACACTACCATTTATTATTGTAAAATTGATGATTAAACCTAATTATTTCAAGGTGGAAGAGTCTTAGGGCACCAGCAGTTTGACTGTCAAATCAGTGAATCAATTTCACACAGTGTGGTATGCCATGCAGAACAATTAGAGGAGAGCACACATACCCATTCACTGACATGTTCCATACTCAGAGATGGGCATGTGTACTAAGACATCATATTTCTGTTTCATGAAATATTAAAGCACATTCCAATGGGAAGTCAAATATAAGTCTTTGACCAAAAAAGGAAAATTGCATCAATACATTTGATAGAAAAATATATTTCTCTATCAAAATATTATAAATAGAAAATTGTGTGGCTTTTGTTGTTGCTGTTCTTAAGTGCCAGTGAGGCGGTTCATGATGACCCTGTATCACGTTTCCAAAGAATGGCTGGTGGGTTTTGACCAGTGATCTTGCAGTTCAAATTGAGCTTAAGATCCAGTGCTTATCTTACGACGTAACTCCAGGACTTTGTAGCGACAGCTTAATCTGAAAAGTTGCTGGCTTTATGAATCAGAAACTCTGAGGATTGAGCTCAGGAATGAGTGTTTTAACAAGACCTCCCACCAGTCCCTCCTCAGAAACCCTGTATAGAGTTGCTGTGAGTGACAGTCCACAGCACTTAATAACAACAGTTGATTATTTTATTCACTGAAGTTTGAGAACCAATGTCCTGCTAGATTCTTTAATATCATCTGGTTTTAAACACACACACAAACCCAGTCCAAACCAATGAACAAGTATTCCCTCTTCCAGCCTTCTTTCTCTCAGGAGATGGGTATGCATACTGTCACCATTTATTCATTTATTCTGGTGACTGCTCACTTCTCTTGCTAAGGACACAAACAAGTTCCATGATGACATATCCAAAGAACATTCTACAGGCTTCATCTCTGTTCAACAGCAGTCTTCACAAACTATTTCTCATCAATTTCGTGAAAGATTTCTTTACTTCCATGACTTTACTGTTTTCTTTCTAAATTTCTGAACGTTTTTTTAAAAAAAAATGTTCTTTTGCTGATTTCCTTGAAGCTTGACATTACATTTTGAAGAGTCTCAGAGCTTAGACCTAGTCATTTCCCTCCCCTCTCTCTCAACACAGATATAGCACAACATTAAATATCTTATAGATACGTCTATTATTATTATTATTAAGGAGCTCTGGTAGTGTGGTGGTTACGAATCGGGCTGCAAATCTGAAGGTCAACAGTTCAAAACTGCCAGCTGTTCCACAGGAGAAAGATGAGGCTTTCTGCTCCTGTAAAGATTTACAGCCTTGGAAACCCTGTACAGGGTCACTGTGAGTCAGAACTGACCCCACAGCATATAACAACAACAACATTATTATTGTTAGTTGCCTTCCAGTCCACCCCTGACTCACAGCGATTCCATGTGCAACAGATTAGTCCATTGTGATCCATTGGGTTTTCATTGGCTGAATTTTTGTAATTAGCTCATCAGGCCTTTCTTCCTAGTCTATGTTAGTCTGGAAGTTCTACTGAAACCTGTTCAGCATCATAGTATCACACAAACCTCCAATGATAAAGAGGTGGTGGTTATGCTCAGGTGGGAATCTAACTTGTACATCCCACATGTAAAGTGAGAATTCTACCACTCAATGACCATGGCCCCCTTTACAGATACAGTAGATTCCTAAATGTATGTCTCATCTAGAACTCTAAAAGTGTGCATTCAATAAACCTTTGGATGCACTGACATTTCCAAATGGATATTTCACTGTCTTTTCAAGTAACCTGAACTTTAAGAACCTAAACTTCTGTTTTCCTCTGCGTTTTCAGTACCAGTAAATGATTCCAGTATTACTAAATAACTCAACCATGCAAAATTTAAAGTTACTCTAGGTTTTTCACCTTCTTCATGCATTATAAATACATGTGCTAAGTCATTTTCCAAAGTACATGTTAAATTCATCCGTATTTCCCCCATCTACTATACAGGCCAAACCATTACCATCTCTTTCTATGACTACCATAATACTCTTCTGTCTCTTTCTTAGCTCTTTCTAGCTCCCCTCCTGCCACCAGTCTAACTCACAGAATAACCAGAGACTATGTTCCTCTCTTCAAAAATTGATTGCTTCTCATTGGTCTCTCCCAATAGTCTCTCCTTCTCTCTCTCTCCCATCATTTTGTAGGTTTCCAACTTGTGCTATAATATGATAAAGAATTCCTGACTATGATTGTAGGCTAAATCCCTAGAAGTAGAATAAGTGAATGACTCTTAAAATATTATGCATTCATGGACTTTGAGTAAAACATTGATATGAATCTCTGCCATGCATCCTCTCTGTAACTTTGGAGAACTTACTTATCCTCTTAGAACTTTCCTTGTACTAGCCTGTAGAGTTGGACTATAATATTTATATCAGAAGAATATTAAAATAGGAAATGATATGCTGTTCCAGCACTGACACTTTTTACCTGTGATGGTGTTGGTGGTGGTTATGTGCCATCCAGTCAGTTCCTACTCACATCGACCCAGTATAGAGTTTCCAAGGCTTTGAAGCCTTGCTGTTGTTGCTGTCAAGTGCCATCAAGTTGGAACTGACTGCACAGC